CCTGCGGGAGTTGGGAGCCTGGTGCCGTGTCCGCTACAAGCTTACCGCTCACTGGCGGCGGCCGTCTCTGGGCTGTTGTCCACAGGTCTCTCCACCTACTGGGGCGCCCACCAGCAGTCCGAGATGCAAGGAAGGGAGAGTTAATCGCTGTACCTACCCTTGCCGCTGGTCTCCAGGCTGCTCCGGCGGTCTCAGCTTCCAGTTCTCCTCTGCAACCTCCTCCTGTGGAGTCTCCCGTGGTCTCAGGTGCCCCTCCTTCTGACCTTCATCCGATGTATGCTCATCTTCTTGCTTCTTTCTTCTAATTTCTGCTAGAATCTATCTTTTCTGCAGAGACACTTTGTATGGCGGTGTTTCTTGTCCGCCATCTTGATTCGGATCCTGCTGGTGGGGATTTAAAATGCAGCAGCCACTTTGTAATAAACAGTTTGGAAGTTTCTTCAAATGTTAAACCAAGTGTTGCACAGTGAGCAGATCTTTGCAAACCTACCCCCAAAGTTTGTGGAAGCTGAGAGGCCAAATAAAGAGGCTGACATATCCAGTTTTTCAGAAAGAAACACTTTTTTTTCAGAAAGAAAATAGGGACTTAATGAACAGAAGCCGTGACAGGCAGCTGCCAGATGATCGATCTCTGTGCCATTATCCCTGAGACCCAGGACTTATATGCCATAGGAAGGAATGTATAGGACAATTGAAATAGCCCCCTGAGGGCTAAGAATACTACATGAACCTGCCTAAGGGCAGGATTTGCCGTAACAGTAATGAAATAGAAATCTCAGAGGCATTCCTCAACAGAAATCAACATGACAGATTAGCATTGAGATGGAGTTGCTTTAGTCTCCACACATAGATTTACTATAGCACCCGGCAATCCAACTCCTCTGTCTCTACCTCCAAAAATGAAAATGTGTCCTCCAAAAGACTTGTATGCAAATCTTCATGGAAGCATTGTTAACAGTAGCCAATAAGAGGAAATAACTCAAATGTCCATCGACTGATGAATGGATTAACAAATATGGCATATCCATACAATGGAATATTTTTAGCCATAAAAAGTAATTAAGACAGAGGAAAGACCAAGTGAAGACACAGGGAGAAAAAAGACATCTATAAACTAAGGAGAGAGGATTCAGAAGAAATCAGCCTTGCCCAACGCCTTGATCTAGAACTTCTAGTCTCAAGAATTGTGAGAAAATAAATTTCTTTTGTTTATATCACCCAATATGTGGTTGCGGTTATGGCGGCCCTAGCCAATTAAAACAGATTTTGCTACTGTTAATTGGAGGGCTATTGTAGCAAATACATAAAAATGTGCAAGTGGCCTTGGATTTGGGTAACGAATGGGTAGAGGCTGGCAGAGTTCTGAGATGCATATTAGAAAGGCCTAGATTGCCTTGAAGACACTGTTGGTAGAAATATAGATGTCAAAGTTGATTTTGGTGAGGGCTCAGAAGAAAAGTGGAGAGCTGTAGAGAAAGCTTCTATTGTTTATATATTTAATATATGTATACACACAAACACAGATATTTGGAACATTTATAAGATTTATATGTGTACATCATCATGAAGAGAATGTCAGTAGAAATATGAATGTTAAAGGAGCTTCTGGGGAGGTCTTGGGTGGATATAAAGAATATGTTATCAGAAACTGGAGGAAAGACAATCTTTATTATAAAGTGGCAAAGAATTTACCATAATAATGTTCTAGTGTTTTGTGGAAAGTAGAACTTTTAAGTGATGAACTGGAAATTTTAACTAAGGACATTTCTAAGCAAAGTATTGCAGGTGTGGGCTAGTTTCTCTTTGTTGCTTATGGTAAAATGTGAGCAGAAGGAGATAATAGAAAAAGGAATTTTTTTTTTTTTTTTGAGACAGAGTCTCACTTTGTTGCCCAGGCTAGAGTGAGTGCCGTGGCGTCAGCCTAGCTCACAGCAACCTCAATCTCCGGGGCTCAGTGATCCTTCTGCCTCAGCCTCCTGAGTAGCTGGGACTACAGGCATGCGCCACCATGCCAGGCTAATTTTTTCTATATATTTTTAGTTAGCCAATTAATTTCTTTCTATTTTTTTAGTAGAGACGGGGTCTCGCTCTTGCTCAGGTTGGTTTTGAACTCTTGACCTTGAGCGATCCTCCCACCTTGGCCTCCCAGAGTGCTAGGATTACAGGCGTGAGCCACCGCACCCAGCCTTGCCCTGCTAGGTTTTGGACTTGCTTAGAACTCTCATTCCTTTCTTCTTTCCAATTCCTCCCCTTTGGAATGAGAATGGCTGTTCTATGCCCATCCCATCATGATATTTTGGACATAGATAACTTGTCTGGTTTCATTGGTTCACTGTCAGAGAGTGAACCAATGAATATTTTGCCTCAGGATATATCATATAACTAGTCTCACTCACTATACCTTATTTAGTTGCTACTTAAATGAGACTTTGGAGTGGGTTAAAATATTTGGGGCTGTTGGGATGGGATGCTTGTATTTGGCATTGGATGCAAAATATATTGTTCCAATGTATATTGCGAATTTTTGGAGGGCCAGGGGGTGGAGTGTTATGGGCTAAATTGTACTCCCCCCCCATTCCTGTGTTGAAGTTCTAATCCTCAGGACCTCAGAATGTGACTGTACTTGGAGACAGGGTCTTTATTGAGGTGATTAAGGTTAAATGAGGTAATTGGGTGGGCCCTAACCCAACATGACTGATGTCCTTATAAGAAGAGAATGCTGAGACACAGACTCACACAGAGGAAACACCATGTGAAGACACAGGGAGGAGATAGTCATCTACAAGCCAAGGAAAGAGACCTCAGAAGAAGCCAAACATGCTGACACCTGGATTTCAGGGCCGCAGGACAGAGAGTCACCGAGGCTGTAATTATCAAAAGTTTTATTGTCTAGCTCGAGCTAGGGTCTGAGCCCCCAGAGTGCCAGCGCAGTGGCCTCTGTGGAGACAAATCTAACCTGCCATTCTGCTTCTGTAAACTCTGCTCGCTCAACCCTACTCCCTCCCCCGCCGGCGCCACTCTGTAACTCCCCAGCCGTTAGTCCTTGGAAATTACTGACCAAGATTAGAAGTTCCCGACATTAGCTAATCTGGTACATGTTTGTGCAAGGTCAAAGCCCATGAAACTTTCCCCCCACCCTGTGACCCCTAGCCACCTGCGTGTGGTTTCTGTCTATAAAAATCCTAAGGAAAAAAAGGTCGGGGCGGCAGCTTCCTTAGCTCGCTTGCTCCTGCGTGCGCTGGTAAATGAATCCTCATGCTATTGCATCAAGTCTCTGGACTCTGAGTCTTTTTTTGAGCGGTCGTCTCTCCCCCACACGGGCTGTACATTTCTGCGGCCCAACACCTCTTCTTCAGGCAGGGACCCCCCTGTGTGCTAGTGACCCTTTTATACCTAAGCTGTTTACACACTGGTCATGCATCCGCCCCACAGTGATTCTTACTTCATCCTGCCCCTGATAGGCCCTAACCTGTTCGGGTCCTAGCTGAGAGACTCCGGTTTCCGCGTTCTTTGTCTTTTTTCTCTGCATCCCATAATGTACTCATAATGCCTTGCGGTTAGCAAGCAAGCAGTAAACAGAAGCTGGAAGGTGTCCATTGTCCTTATAGCCCAGTATCTTACAGATGAACCTCAAAAATTTTATGATAAGTGAAAGAAACTACGCAGGTAAGACCATATATTGTAAGAGTCCATTTATATGCAATGTCTGGAAAAGACCAAATGTATAGACAGAAAGTACATTAGTTGTTGCCAGGGCCTGTGAGTGAGAATGGGGAGTGATTGCCAGCAGGCATGAGTTTTCTTTTGTGGGTAATGGGATATATAATGTTTGGTAATGGGATTTATAATCTTATAAAATTAGATTTTAGCAAAAGTTACACAATTGTTAAAGTTACTAAAAATACTTGAAATGTAATCCTAAAATGAGTGAATTTTATAGCGTGTAAATTATACCTCAATAAAGCTGTATAAAAAAAATTAATGGTTGAGGCCGGGCACAGTGGCTCACGCCTGTAATCCTAGCACTCTGGGAGGCCGAGGTGGGAGGATTGCTTGAGCCCAGGAGTTTCACACTAGCCTAAGCAAGAGCGAGACCCCGTCTCTACAGAAAACAGAAAAATTAGCCAGGCGTGGTGGCGTGTGCCTGTAGTCCCAGCTGCCATGAGGCTAAGGCAGGTGGATGGCTTGAGCCTAGGAGTTTGAGGTTGCTGGGAGGTAGGCTGACACCTCGGCACTCTAGCACTCTAGCTGGGGACACACCAAGACTCTGTCTCAAAGAAAACAAAAAGGTTGAAAAGAACTATTCTAGATGGTATTTTGTAGGAAAACAAAACCATGATTATATTTTATACTTTAATGTACCCAAAAGATATACCTGTAATTGAATATTTAATTTATCAAATTAATAAATATATTTAATATTTTCATTAAATATTTAAACATTTTAAATTTTAAAATTTGAATGACTTTTAATTAATTTTAAAAATTTCCTCTAAACATCTGGGATAATTCCATTCATATTGTGGTAGCATATAAAACTCCATCATCAATTTTTCTCTTATTTCATTTTAGAAAGGGCTTTGAAAGAAGCACAGCAGACTGATAAAAAATTGAGTCAATATTGATAAAATCCTTTAAAGTCAAACTCCCTAATTTTAGAATCCTTTTGTATATCTCATTAATGGACAACCTTTTAGATGTTGGGCTACACAAAGTCCATGGGAAGAGCAGAGGGCGCGGAGCGACTGCGGCCGCACACGTGCGGGCCGGTCTCTGCGGGGCAGCCGGGCCTCCGCCTCGAGCGCGCCCTGCTAGGCCCGAAGCCTGCAGCCTCCGCGGTTCCCGTTCGGCCCCAGACGCCGGTCTTGCCCGCGCCTGGCGGAAGAGCGCGGCTGCGCCTGCCTCCCGCGGGCCGGCCTCCGCACGCCCGGCCTCCGCACGCCCGGCCTCCCGCCGGCGCCCGCGCGCCCTCCTTCGCTCACGCGTGCGGCGGCCGAGTCGCCCCCGCGCCTTGCTCCGCCCGGCGGCAGCTAACGGAAACCTCTCGGAGCCACTGACTGCGTTTGAAGGGCCCGACCGTGCAGAACTGTCCCCATGGGCAGTTACCTGAGCCGGGCTCGCCCCTGCCCGCCGCGCCCCGCTCTGCGCGGCGGGGACCAGCTGGGGACTCCGGGGCGCCTGCGGCCCGCGCACCCCGCTCGCCGTGTTCCCCCGGCCTTCCGGGCCCCCTCCTCGGCCCAGTCCCTGGAGCCGACCCGCAGGCTGTCCTGCCAGGATCGCGCGGCTTCACCCCGTCGGCGGCGGCGCCGGCGGCTCGCTGTAGTCCACAGGCAGCGATGCCCGATGGGGCAGGCCGGGTGTCTGTGCCTGCGGGTCTTTTCCTCGGCGCCCTGGCGGGGCGGTCCGCAGCAGCCAGTGCTGTCCGCTTCCCGCTCCAGGGTGCTCTGCACCTCGGTGATCCTGAAGATGGCATCTGCTAAGGGCAAACTGACGCTCCATGTGGCCTTGGAGCAGTCGGTCGTGTATATGTGGTCCTCACTCACTGACCACCTCTCAAACCCTCATGCAAAGGAGGCCCTGATGAGGGCCCTTAAAGAGAGCAATTACGTGGGAGCCGAGGAGGAGAAAGCCCTGACCACCCCCGAGGACAGGAGCAAAGGGCTAGCAAAGCACCAGGAAGGCCACATGGCCCATGAAAGGCAGGACCGTCCACGAAGGGGCTCAGATGGCGGGGGCAGTGCACAGTCTGCATTTCGGAGCCCGATGGTCAATGGAGTCCTCTGTTCCTTTGTGCCCAGGCCTGGGCCTCTGAAGAGAGACTTCTGGTATAAGAACCCAGCAAACAGCCTGCTTGGGAAATCCCAGGCCTCCTTCACACGCACTTGCAGCAGACAAAATGCCATCAGCAGTTCACACAGTTCCACTGGAAGCTTCCCACTGCTGCAGAAAAGAAGTGGTGCAGGCACCTCTGAGCTCCCCAGCCCAGCCTTATCAGGTTCCCAGGTGACAGAAAGGAGCACCAGTGAGGGAGGCCCTCAGGTTAGCACTTTAGCCTCAGTGGTACCACAAAGGAAGATCAAGCATGAAAGGGTTGTAGATGCTCCCCCAGGGCAGAAACAAAATCAGAGGGATTGGAATCCTCCATTTGACAGTTCCAGGCCCCAGAAGCGCAAGATTTCTCTGCTGCTGCCCTATAGAAGAAATGACCCACTGATCCTGCCCCCATTCCCCCAGCTAGGTTATCGAGTCACTGCTGAAGACCTTGACTTAGAGAAGAGATCAGCGATCCAGTACATCAACCAGGTCTTGAAGGGTAAGACTGAGGCCATATCCACCTGCGGCACTATTCATTCAGCCTTCCCATTCTTCCACTCTGCCTGCATCCAGGGCTTTCCGCACCCGTCCTCCTCCAGTCTCAGCACTCAGTCACAGTGCCATTGCTTCAGGAAGACTGCAGAACTTCCCCAGGGGCCTTCCTGTAATCTGCTGGTGCGACTGCCTGTATGGGCTGTTTTCCTGGCTCTCCTCTTCACTTTGCTTGGCCTAGCTGTAAAGAAATTGGTTCCCTTTCCCTGGCCCACCAGGAGTCTGTTCCCCATACTTTGCTGCTTGGCCCTGGCTGGTTCCTTGGCCAGGCTTTGTAGGAGACGACTGTGAGTCCAGCTTTGCTCTTGAGGGAGCCCAGGAGACCCAGTCAGCTCAGGGAAGCTCTGGTGGTTCCAACAAGATGGTTAAATCTCCCTAGAGATTTCTATTCCCATCCTCCTTTCTGCCAGATCTGCCTCAAAGGTTGGGTGCCTGTGGTCAGGTTGCTTGCAACAGCAGAGGGAAGCCTCGGACAAGTTTGCCTCCATGCAGGAGAAGACAGGATACCCACTGCTGCTGCAGTTGCCTCTTCCTGCCTCTTTCATTTGCTTAATTGGGCCCTTGTCCATCTTTCTTACACAAAAAATCACACACACACACACACACACAGAGGAGTTTTTGTTTATTTACCAAATGTTCATGTGCCTTTTTTCTTTGAATTAGTAGTGGAGGAAGAATTGAATTTTTTTTTTTTTTTTGAGAGAGTCTCACTGGGCTAGACTGTCATGGCATCAGCCTAGCTCACTGCAACTTCAAACTCCTGGGCTCGAGCAATCCTCCTGTCTCAGCCTCCCGAGTAGCTGGGACTACAGGCATGCGCCACCATGCCCGGCTAATTTTTTCTATATATACATTTTTAATTGTCCAGATAATTTCTTTCTATTTTTTAGTAGAGACGGGATCTCGCTCTTGCTCAAGCTGGTCTCGAACTCCTGACCTTGAGCGATCCACCCGCCTTGGCCTCCCAGAGTGCTAGAATCACAGGTGTGAACCACCACTGCCCGGCCTGAATTATTAATATATGTGTGGTGGCATGTTTAGCCAGACTTAACTGTGTTACACTTGCTGTGGCCCAACGAATAAGACAGTCATACCACTTTCTGGCTGTAGGTACTGACTCCTGATTTCTGCATCTTGAGTCTATGGGATGGCAAGCCATGCACAGGCCTCTTCCTTCTGCTTCTCATTTTCCCACTTGACCTCACTGTGGGTTAGATCTGTGGGCCCCAAATCCCAGGCCCCAGACTGGTAGCCATCTGTGGTCTGTTAGGAACCAGGCTGCACAGCAGGATGTGAGCAGGGGGTGAGTGAGTAAAGCTTCCTCTGTATTTACAGCCATCCTCACCACTCGCCTCACCACCTGAGCACCACCTCCTGTCAGATCAGCAGCGCCATTAGATTCTCATAGAGCGAGAACCCTACTGCAAACTGCACATGTGAGGGTCTAGGTTGTGGCTCCTTGTGAGGACCTAATGCCTGATGATCTGAGGCGGAGCTGAGGCGGTGACGCTGGTGCTGGGGAGCAAATACAGAGCATCATTAGCAGAGAGGTTTGACTGCACAGTAAATGTGATGCGCCTGAGTCATCCTAAAACCACCCCTCCCTGGTCCATGGAAAAATTGTCATCCATGGAACCAATCCCTGGTGCCAAAAAGGTTGGGGATCACTGTTCTAATTCACTCAGGCTCTTATTTTTTTTTAAATATTATTTCATTGTTTCTGCTCCCTTTGGGTTTAGTTTGTTCTTTTTTTGGTCAGTTTTTTAAGATAGAAGATTAGGCTAGGGATTTAAGATCTTTCTCTTTTGTAATGATGTTTAAAGCTATACATTTCCCTCTAAGTGCTGCTTTATTGACATCTCAAAAATGTTGATATGTTATGTTTGGATTACATTCTGTTCAATATATTTTCTAATTTCCCTTGTGATTTTTTCTTTGATCCATACATTTAGAAATGTGTTCTTTAACTTCCAAATATTTGGTGATTTTCCCACATTTCTTTCTTTTTTGATTTGTAATTTTATTCCACTGTGGCCTTAAACCTACTTTTAATTATTTCAGTTCTTTTAAATTTATTGGCATATTTTAATGACCAAACAAATATTTTTCCTGGAAAATGTTTCATATGTCCTTGAAAGTGTGTTTTACTGTTTTGATGCAGAGTGTTCTATGTTAGTTAGGTCAAGTTTTTGGATAGTATTATCCAGTTTTTCTTATCCTTACCATATCATGTCTAATTTTTTTCAATCAGCTATTGTGACTGGGCCTTAAAATATTCAACTGTAATTGTCTTATTGTCTATTTCACATTTCAATTCTGTCAATTTTGGCTCCATGGATAGTGGGGCTCTGTTGTTAGCTGCATATAAGTTTTCAATTGCTATATCTTCCTGATTATTGATCCTTTTATCATTCTGAAATATCCCTCTTTCTCTGTAGTAATAAAGCCTTAAAGTCAGCTTTGCCAAATATTACTACAGTTACTTTGGCTCCCTTGTGGATACTGTTTGAAATTAATATCTTTTTCCAGTTGTTTAGTTTTAGCATATTTGTGAGGGTTTTTTTTTTTTTTTTTTTTGAGACAGAGTCTCGCTTTGTTGCCCAGGCTAGAGTGCCATGGCATCAGCCTAGCTCACAGGACCTCAAACTCCTGGGTTCAAGCAATCCTGCTGCCTCAGCCTCCCAAGTAGCTGGGACTACAGGCATGCGCTACCATGCCTGGCTAATTTTTTTCTATATATATTAGTTGGCCAATTCATTTCTTTCTATTTATGGTAGAGATGGGGTCTCACTCTTGCTCAGGCTGGTTTCCAACTCCTGACCTTGAGTAATCCGCCCACTTTGGCCTCCCAGAGTGCTAGGATTATAGGCGTGAGCCACCGTGCCTGTCCTATATTTGTATTTTTTAACCTAAATTGTTTTTCTTAAGTCTGCATATTATTGGATCTTGCTTTTTAAAAAGTCTAATCTCTGCCTTTTTATTTACCATTTTAATATATTTAGATTTAATGTAATTATTGTCATGGCCAGATTTAATTTTTCTGTTTTGTTATTTATTTATTTATCTATTTGTCTTGTGACTTTTATCTCTTTTGCGCCTCTGTTCCTCCTATACTGTCTTTGTTTATGTTAAATAATTTTGTTAGTGTATCATTTTGATTCACCTCCTTTTTTACTTTTTTTTAAGTAAAAAATAAGTTTCATGTGGAACTGGTTCATAAGTGTTCATAGCAGCTTAATTTGTAATAGCCAAAAACTGGAAAGTATCCAGAAGTCCTTCAATGGATTAAACAACTGTGATACTTCCAAAGAAACAAGCTGTTAATACACACAACTTGGATGAATCTCAAGGGAATCGTGATGAGTACATAAAGCCAATCCCAAAAGGTTACATAGCTATGATTCCATTTAAGTAAACTTCTTGAAATAACATAATAATTATAGAAATGGAGAACAGGGTCATCAGGGGTTGGGGAAGGAGTGGGAACAGATGGGTATGGGAATAAAGAGATGTTGCAAGGGAGCCTTTTGGTGATGGATCAGTGCTGTGCATTGATTGCGGTGGTGGTTACCTGAATGCACATATGGTAAAAATGCATAGAATTATCCATACACACACATTCAAACAATGAATGCATGTAAAACTACCCAAATATGAATAAGGTTTGTAGTTTGTACCCATATCATTTTTCTAGTTTTCATACTGTTATTTATGACAACCTTGTCCAGTTTTATTATTGCTTTAAAGTGTTTAATTTGGGATTAGTGATATACCACAGAAATGTACAGGGATGTCCTGTGCACCTTTCATCCAGTGTTGTCATTGTGAATAACTATTCACAATAACTAATAAATAAAGGCATCCTACCACATACTCATCTAATGTAATTGTCAAAGATTGACAGGCCATGAATTATTTCTCCATCTCACTGAGGTTTGAAGGTGGGCAACCCCCACTGGCTAAGTGTCCCTTGCCACACAAGCGAGTGACCTGCCCTGGAACCCGGTGGGCCCTGCCTCTGCTGCAGACCGAGGGGCTTCTGCGGGAAGCACAGAACCCATTCACCCCAGACCACACGCGCGAGCTGTCCCCTGCCTTTCGTCACCACCCGACGCGGGGCGTGCCCAGTTTGCCTGTGGTTCAGGTTCAGCCCCTTGGCTTCCCGTGCGTTGCTTACCCGTGTGGGCTGCGCTGGGGACCGAGGAGCTGCAGGAGGGCCGTGAGGACACACCTCACGCCCCGCCCTCATTGGTGGTTTCCAAATGCTCGCTGTCTGGACGTTAATCTGTGCTAAATTCTATAAAATGAAAAGATGGGTTAAAACCCAAATGCTGTATATTAAGTTGTAATTATGTACAGAGTGAAGCAGTTTTAAACTGTAAAGGGTTTTTTTCAGTGTGTTTTCTGGAATTTTGCCATGGGCTTTGTATTCTATTTATCTTTTTCTCTAGTTACCGGCTTTAGGTTCTTGTAAAGTCCCCCTTCGCCGTTTCGGAAAAATAAATGTCCTCTGAAGTCTTGATTGGTTGGTTGATTGATTGGCTTTATGTACTCTCTTGAGATTCATCCAAGTTGTGTGCATTAACAGCTTGTTTCTTTTTCTTGCTGAAGAGTATCCCGTGGTATGGAGGTAGCACAGTTGTTTAATCCATTGTGAATAACTAATAACTATCATATTTTATATGATATAAAAACCAGAAAATGGACATTGGCACAATACATAGAGCTGATTCAGATTTCACAATTACACCTGCATTCATTCTGTATATTCTCAATAGCTGTGGTCCCCAACCCCCAGGCCAAGAACCAGTACCAGTCTGTGGCCTGTTAGGAACCGGGCTGCACAGCAGGCAGTGAGCCTCGGCCAGTGAGTGAAGCCTCATCTGTATTTATAGCTGCTTTCCATCCCTCGCATCACCGGCTGAGCTCCACCTCCTGTCAGATCAGCAGTGGCATTAGATTCTGAGAGGAGCACGAACCCTACCGTAAACTTCACATTTGAGGGATCTAGGTTGATGCGTGCTATGACAGTCCAATGCCTGATGATCTGAGGCGGAGCTGAGGCGGTGACGCTAGTGCTGGGGAGCAGCTGCAAATATAGATTATCATTAGCAGAGAGGTTTGACTGCGCAGTCAATGTAATGCGCTTGAATCATCCTGAAACCAGCCTCCCACCCCCTGGTCCCTGGAAAATTGTCTTCCATGAAACCAGTCCCCGGTGCCAAAAAGGTTGGGGACCGTTGCTCTATAGCTCTATGCAGTTTTATCACATGTGTAGCCTCATGTAAAAACTACTACACTTAAGATATGTAACTATACCATCATCACAAGATTCCCTTTGTTTGGGGGGGGGTCAGAAGCCACTGTGCTGGGATCTCCCCATGCCTCTGGTGAGGGGCAGGAGACATGGGGCTTCACTGCTGCTGCTGCTGCTGCTGCTGCTGCTGTAGGCATTTGGGGCTCCCTGCTGGTGACCTGGTTGTGGAGTGGTGGTTGGGGTTCTCCACTAGGTCTCTGTTGGGCTTTCCCTTTAGGTTCTACGTTGCAGGCCTCTTTAGTACCAGGTCTTTGGTATGTGGGAGATGGGAAAAAAAAACCCACAGGTTTTCTCATTCCTCAAGTCTTGAGGTTCCTCAAGTCTGTTTTCTTCTTTCCAACTTTCAGAGTCCTATTATTGTTGTCTGTTTAATAGTTTCCACAGTATTTAGTTGTATTGGAGGGGAGGCGAAGGGACAAGTTGGTCTACAGCATGTTCTTGTGGAGCCAGTGACTCTACCAGTGCTCTTTCAGGAGAGGATTTGCTGACCTCACTTAGCTGTTCTGGAGGCCTGAAACCCTAAACTCAGCTTAATGGTGAATGTTCTTGCGGAAGTTGTATGGACTGCATATCTATGTCCTCCTCACCAAGGGCCCCGGCACATCCTGGCACCTGCCTACTCCCATGGTATTTTTATTGTTAGACATTTGTGTTTATAAAATGGTTAAAGAAATTAATTATATTATAAAATTATACATTTCTGTGATCATTTTTATTGTATTCTTGGTCTTTTCTCAAGGCCTATCTTTATTTTTGCTGAAATAATTCTTTCAAGAATTCTTTTAATGAGGCTACATGGAAGGGTGAACACTCTTAATCATTCTATGTCTTCAGTGACTTTATTTAGCCCTCACTTTTGGAAGATAATATGGACAGGTGTAAAGTTTCCAGGGTGACATATAGGCCCCCTTACCACCCTGACATTAGGGCGTGGTCATCTGAAGACACAGCAAGTTTGGGGCAAGTACGTTTCCTTGGGTAAGACTTTGTGTTCTGGTGCGAGGGAACTAGTCATTCAAATGTCAGCTCTCACAAGAGCGGTATGTGTCTTGGGAAAGTGACGGATCCTCTGTTTTCTTACACCTAAAATGGGGATGTTCAGGAAATGTAAGGGTTACAGAGTGCTTTTGTGAGTCCTCTGTGATGCCACGTACTTTCTACCCTCAATACCCCGTTCATTCCTCTTTTGGTAATCACTGTTATTTTTGTCTTTTACAGATGACGGAGCTAAGACCCAGAGCAATTAAATAACAGCCACACTCAGCCTGAACGCCTAGTCTGTACTCTGCACCTGTAGTGCAATATCATATTCCATGTAGGGTCATTTTGATATTTAAATAAGATAATCATCTGGAGTGCTAGCTGTAGTGTCTGATGTATGCTTTGGTGTTGGGTACTGCTGTCTCTTATCGTGAACATGACCTCCTTGCCAGCCCCAGCTATGGCCCACACAGCCCCTTAGAGAATCCTTAGGAATTATGGGTCTGTGGCCTTAGTGATTAGGGGTCTGAGCAGGTCTATGGAAGTCGGAGATTGGAGGGCTGTTCATATGATTCGAGAACATGGGAAGGATCAGTATTCAGAGGTCTTCAGGAATTAGGCTTTGCTGGAGGCAGGAACTAGGCCGACTGGGCTTGGGGACCAATGATTATTTCCCTCGGGGTCAGTGGGGTCAAAAGAGGTCAAATGTAGCTTTTTAAAAAATTGTCTTCCCCCTTCTCTCCCTGCCTTTTATCCAATGTTAAGACTTTCCCATATGAGTGTATGTGTATAAACATATAGCCAGAAGAGGTTGGTTTTGCAGGAGTGGGATGATAGTGCATTCATTTCTCTGTGTTTCACTTTGCTCCCTTAACAGCACATCTAAGAGATCTGCACCAGTCAGCTGACAGAAATCTAGCACATTATTTTAAAACCCTAATCTTAACTCTGAGGCACTATCCCAAACCCTGCCCCTAGGGTTTTGGATCTAAGGCCTTTAACCCTAAGGCTGTAATCCAGAGGTTTTACTCCATGCTAACTCCAGCTGTGACACTAGGGCCCTCACTGTAACACTGGTCCTCATTCCCAGATCCCGCAAACCCTAACTCTTAACTCTGAGGCCCTAATCCATGATGAAATAAACTCCTATTCACTCTGCTGCTTACTATTGAGAGGCACTAGGAATATTTCCCAAAACATCTTTCTATGTGCTCTTTTCTTAATGATTATTTTATTTACTTGGAATGGATTACCAGGAAGGAGATTACTGGGTATAAGGGTGGACGTATTTTACAGCTATTGGACATTGCAAAATTGTTTTCCAGAAAAACTGAAACAAGTTTCCTTCTGTAACATATGAGAGGTCCCATTTTCCTGCGTCATCCCTGAAATAGGATTTATCACTTAGCACTTGTCCCCATTTAAAGTAGCCATTGACCAGGGGAGGTGGGTGGGAGAACAAGTGGCCACCCATTCATTCCCAAACCTAAAAGGACTTGGGTGGGGGTAGGAACTCTTCCTGAGATCTGCATGGGCAGAAAGGAAGGAAGCTCAGGAAGAGAGGTTCTGATATTCGTGCTACAGTTCTCTGTGGGTAGGGCCAGAGCCAGGCCAGGCGGCCGGGCGGCAGGTTGAGCAGGGCGCTGCCTCTGCCTCTCTTGACTTCTGGCATGAGACCTCCGGGTCCGGCCATCAGGTGGGTCCCCGGTGAGCCCAGCCGGACCATGCCACGGGGTGTTTCGGGCGGAGACTGCACCTCTAAGTGAGTCGCCTTTCCTGTTAAAAATGAAAACAAATCTGTTTTATTGGGAGTGGGAAATCCAAGCAAGAAGGGGCAGAATTTGGCAAGAAAGAATGTGGCCAGAAGGAGCTGAAACCTGAAAGAAACTGCAGGGATCGTGGAAAAGGACACAGGAATCCGGGAGACGCGGCAGGAAGCAGGACCCCCTGCAGGGGGTCTACGACACCCGGGCCTGCGCTCCGGCGGGGCGGGGCGGGGCGGGGCGGGGCGGGGCGGGGCCTGCGAGCGCACGGAGAGCCGGTCCTGCTCATTTGCATACGCCCCGCCCCCGCCGGCCGGTCCGGGCTGAATTCCCACCGAATTCCTCTGTCTCTGAATTTGCCCTCAACGCCAAGTCGCAGAGGTCTGTGGCAGCGGTGTTCTCGCCAGAGGAGGACACGAGGAAGGAAGAGGGCTGTCCCAGGACTGCGACCCTCCTTTCCAAAAGCGCCGGGCTGCATTGACACGCGGAGCAAACCTATTTTCAGAGTATCTGAAAATAGAGAAAAGTGGAGAGTTTGTAGAAAAGGAAATGCGGAGGCCACGAGAGAGAACCAGGTAAAAAGAGTAAAGGAGTAATGGCTAGGAAGAGGACTGGCGTCGGAGCGCGAAGAGGGCGCAGGACGAAGAAGCGGGGTGCCGTCACCCCACTCCCGCGCCTTGCTGGTGGGGTTCACCGTGTGGGCGACCAGCCTCCTCCGCGGGAGTCACACTTGGGGAGAAGAGAAGGGGAGCAGAGAGGAAGCCTAGGACAGTGACCAAGGAGGGCGTGGGGCAGCACCAGGGGTTCAAGGAGGTTGGGGCTCAGCCCTGAGGGAAGCAGGGCCTGGGGAGCCTGGCGGTGGGAGCTCCCAGAGGGGCCAGAGAGGGCTCTTTCTGCCTGTGTGGGAGGAGAACACTCACCCTGGAGGGGCTCCCAGAAAGAGGAGGCACAGTCCATGCCAGGGTCCTTTAACCCTCAGTGCCCTCAGGGACACTCCCAAAATTTGTCACTGGCATCTATTTCAGCTCCTCTCCCCTCTGGAGGGAAGAAAACGGGGGAGGCAATGAGAGGGGACCAAGTGAAAGGACTAAAGGCTGGAAAGAGGGATGAGCCTGGGCTAAGCCTGGGCACAGGACAGATCTACCTGATTCAAAATCTGGGAGAAAAATCCAAGATGTTTATAAGGTTTTTGAAGCCAGACACTTTGACTCAACTTTCACTGCTGCTTGTATGCTCTCTGGTCTACTCCACCATCTCAATCCAACAGGGCGCCCACTGGCAAGGCAGCTGCTGGCCTGCAGGCAGGGGCTGCAAGCTTGCTGAGGCCCGGGGCTCTGCTGGATCTGGGTGGACAGAGGCTGGCCGTGACCATCCTCCCCAGGCCCATCCCTGCTGAACAGGAACAGAGAGCCTTAGCGGCAGATCAGAGGAGGTGGAGATCCAGGTACCCGGAGAGGAAAGACCAGGCATCCTTCCCATTGCTCTTGGGAGGATGTTTGAGTCTCTGATCGCTGTTTTAATGAATTGCCACAAATTTAGTGGCTTAAAACACACATTCTCTTGTATTAATAGTTCTGGAGGTCAGAAGTCCCAGTTCGGGTACACTGGGCCTAGCTGAGTTACCCAGGCCTCCAGTCCCCACAGCTCCCCCTCTTGCCTCCTTTCCTACCTTTTCCTCTTCCACTTTTCCTCCACTTCCCCTCATAGACATTCTCACCTAGACCATCCCAGTCCCCTCTGTCCTGCGTTGTCCTGCTCCTTTTCCTGGCCCCTTATCTTTAGGGCACCCATGTAGTTGTCCTACAGGAAGCGGAACTCCGGGCACAAAAAGAAGTGCTAGGGAGCGGTGGGCCTTTCTGCCGGGGTCTCAGGATCTAGGGCGGAGCCCCCCACCGTCTTCCTTCCGCGGCGCTCTACCAGCACCCCCACCCCCTCGCGGCCCCCTCCGCGCCGTCCCCTCCGCCGCCCCTCCGCGCCCCGCCCGCCCCCCGCCGGCCCCCCCGCGGCCCCCGCCGGCCCCCCCCCCGCCGCCCCGCCCCCCCCGCCGGGCCCTCCCTCGCGCCGACCCCCCCTCCGCCGCCCCCCCGCGCCGCCCGCCGCCCCCCGCCGGGCCCCCCCCCGCCGCCCGCCGCCCCGCCCCCGCCGGCCCCGCCGCCCCGCCGCCGGCCGCTGCCCCCCGCCGGCCCCCCGCCGGCCCCCCCGGCCCCCCCGCGCCGCCGCCCCCGCCCCCCCGCCGCCAGCGCGGGGCACATCAGGGCAGCCGGCATCCGGTCCACAGAGAGCCAAATCTCCATCTCGGGTCTAGGAGGGCTGGCTGTCCAGGATGTCCCCTCACCTTCCGCCAGCGACCGCCAGGTGGAGCTGCTGCTTCCTCTCCTGCATCTCTACCCCTTCTCCGGAACCCCGGCCGCAGCGCCTACGGCCTTCCGGGCTGCGCACGCTCCACGCTGGGCTAGCCGAGCCTCCGCAGCTCCGGAGGACTGGACGCTCCGCCCGCAGGAAGGAAGGCCTTGCCCAGAAGTCAGCGCAGCCTGGAGGTGAGCGGCTGGCTGGGAAGGGGAGGGTGGGGGAGGGATTCCCTTCGGGTCCCCTGGTGGGATGGTTCTCAAGGCAGCGGATGCCAGGGGCTGCCTGGAGGCAAGGGATGCCCCTTCTAAGTCCTGCGGGGCCTCGCTGGATTTAGCCTCCCAGAAGCAAAGTACTAGAGCCAGCAGGCACCTCACTAACAGATGAGTAGTAATCTTTACTCCACAGATTCCTGCCTAACGGATGAGCCGTGGTGCACAGCCTAGTGCAGTGCTGGGCTCCTGCAGCCCTGCTCCTCCTCCCCTGGACATGGCAGCACAGAACCACGACACCATGCTGCATGCACATCCCCTGTCTTTGCTGGTCTCAGACTGGCTACCTGGCCAGAGGTGGGGAACGAGGATCCAAGAACTTGAGTCCAGAGACCTCAGAGAGCCCCTTGTCCCGTATCAGGCAGCTCTTGCTGGGGCAGGCCCCTGGGCGACTGGGTCATCCCAGCAGCCTCTGTCCTTGCCAACCCCACTGTTCCAGGGACTAGCCCCCCAGGGATACGTGTCACCTCTCTAGAGGTGGCCGAGGGCAGCCCACGGTGTTCTTTGACAGGGTCTGCTGTCCTCAGCATCAGGCGATGGGTCCAGGAGCTGGATCAGATTGAGGTTTGAGTTTTTGCAGAGACTACTTTGTAGGCTGGGCTGTGGCTTCCATCAGAAAGCATATCGCCTCTGTTGTCTTCCTTTTTATTGCATTGGCGCCATGGAGGATCATTGCCTAGATCCCCTTTTCCTATGTAATTGCAAAGTAGTGAGATTCTGTTGGTCTTCCTAAAGCTACTGCCTGCAGTACTCCTGTACATGCAGCTCTCCCTCATGAGGTACCTGGCACTGTTCTACCTTCATCTTACTCAACCTCACCCTGCCCGGGAGGCCTCTTGGCTGTCGTTTCCTTACCTCCCACGTCAAGTTTTGACATTTGTCTCCTAAATACTTCTAAATTCCCTCAGGTCTTTCCAGATCTCTTGCCACTGTGGAATATGGATATGGACATTAAATATTAGATTAGCCCTTTATGGTAATTTCCTAATTAAAATAACAAGTCCTAAAAAATCTTGCTTATGCCAGTGGTACTTTTCCTACAGAATGGGAAATCCTCAATAAATGAAGGATGTGACTTGCCCAAGAGGTAGCTTTGAAACACGAGGCAGGCCTCTTCATCTTGACTGCCTGCTCCTTCCTCAGGGCCCCTGGTACTGAGAGGCAGTCATGGTTTCTGGGCTTGTACCTGGGGAGGGAAATCAGGCCATGAGCTTACTTGGAATCCCTACTTCACCTCCATAATGTTTTTGCTTATTAATCCCTGATTATTCATTTCTTATAAATCCCTAATTATTAGTAAAGTGTAAAGACAAAGCAGGAGAAAAGCGAGTGAAGGCAAAAGAGGTAAACAGATGCAGAGCCCCACAGAGAGAGATAAAAGGTCAGTGTGTGGTTAAGTCAAAGTAGATTTTTAGCTGAAGCATATTTCTAGAGATAAAGGGGGGTGCTCCATAGTGATTGTCAATGGAAAAAAAGCCAATCTAAAATAATTTTAAAGAGATTTATTCTGAGCCAAATTTGAGGACCATGATCCAGAGCCACTGCCAAGAGGCCTTGAGCTAGTGGACTCACTGTGGTCGGGTTACAGTTTGGTTTTATATATTTCAGGGAGACAGGGGTTACAGGTAAAGTCATAAATCAATACGTGGGAGGCATACATTGGTTTGGCCCCAAAAGGTGGGACATTTCGAAGTGGTGGGGCTTACAGGTTATAGGTGGGTTTAAAGATTCTTTGGTTTGTAATTGGTTAAAGACAAGCTTTGTCTAAAGGCTTGGAATGTTTCAACATAAGAGCTGTTATTAGAGACAAGCCACTGGACATAGATTTGTTGTGTAAATTGAGGACCTGCAGGATTGTCTTGCTTACCTTTAGGCCTGTTAATGGGTTACAAAGGCTGTCTCCAAGGAAGGAAGGGTTCATGATAAGGCCTGTCTGACCTCCCTCCTCCTGGCAGACAATTTAGTTTTAGAATATTCCTTTGGCCACGAGAGGGTCCATTCAGTCAGACGGGGGTCCATTCAGTCAGCTGGTGGGGGGGTGAGCCTTAAAATTTTATTTTAGTTCACATGATGAAGGGGTCAATACAGCATGGAGATGTAACAATTACAAATGTATATACAGATGTTACTAGAGCTTTAAAAAAATAAAGGGAGAAATAGATAAAATCATAGTTGGAGATTTTAATAGTAGAACTAGACAAAAACCTATTAAGAGTAGGGGAGATCTAAGTGACAGTATCTATTACCTAAACCTAATTGACATTTCTAGGACATTTCCATCAATGACTGCAGAACCCCTTTTTAAAAGTGCATATGTGTCATTTACCAAGGTAGATTATATGCTGGGCCATAAACATGTCTCTATAGGTTTCAAGTGATTGAAATTCTACAGGCATATAAGAAAGCACAAAACACACATAGTGTGTTTTGAAAATTTCAAAACACACTATGAAACAACCCATGGGTCAGGGGAAAAAAATCCCAAGGTAAATGAGAAAAGGGTTTGAAACAAATGATAATGAAAACACAACATATTAAAATCTGTGGGTTGCTGCTAAATCTTAGGGGAGAATTTACAACATTGCATGCTTACATTAGGAAACAAGAAAAATCAAGATCAACGATCAAAGCTTCTACCTTAGGAAGATAGAAAAAGGTGCCAAATTAAATGCCAAACAAGCAGAAGAAAAGGAATAATGAAGATTGAAATGGAAATTAATGATACATAAAACAGAGAATAGAGAAAAATCAGTAAAACCAAAAGCTGGTTCTTTCATAATATAAATACAATTGCCAAATACTGTCTAGGCCTAAACTGACATAAGGAAAAAAACCTTTATATAGTTCTATAATCTATTGAAGAAATTGAATTCCTTTCCACAAAAAAGTTCCAGATTCAAATAGCTTTACTTAGGTGAGTTACATTTAAGGAATAAATAATATCTTTCCTACACAAATTCTTTCAGAAAACAAAGGACACATTTAATGAAGCCAGTATTGCTCTATCTAAAAGCAGGTGAATATATTACAAAGGGGGAAAAAAAAGAAACAACTAAAGACCAACGTCACTCATAAATAGACATGAAAATCCTTTTTTTTTTTAGAACAGAAAGACAACTGTTTACACATTTAAACCAGAATGTGATGTGCATCTCAGACAGCTGCTAAGAGATTGTAAAGAAAAAAGAAAAGTCACCATAATTAGACCTCAATTAGAAGACTTGACAGCACCGTTTGTTATATATAGTTTGCCCTAAATTCACCTAGTAATTGGCAAGGCCATCTGTGTTTGCTAATGGATTATACTCAAAAGAAAAAAAAAAAACTTTACATGTGTTCATGATGGAGGATAGTTGTTTTTTTTTTTTAATTTCTGAATATTATGGAGGTAAAAACATTTTGGTTACGTATATTACCTTTGCATCACCCAAGCCAGAGCTACAAGTGTGCCCATCCCAAAGTATGTTCTGCACCCACTAGTTATGAATTTACCCATCCCTTACACCCACCCTCCCACCTTCCCAGCACCCAGTGAATACTACTACTTCCATGTGTATACCCAAGTGTTGATCAGTTAGTACCAATTTGATGGTGAATACATGTGGTGCTTGTTTTTCCATTCTTATGATACTTCACTTCCAATAATGGGCTCTAGCTCCATCTAGGATAACACAAGAGGTGCTAGTTCACCATGGTTTTTTATGGCTGAGTAGTACTCCATAATAGTATACATATGCCACATTTTATTAATCCACTCGTGTATTGATGGGCACTTGGGTTGTTTCCATATCTTTGCAATTGTGAATTGTGCTGCTATAAACATTCGAGTGCAGGTGTCTTTATTATAGAATGACTTTTTTTCCTTTGGGTAGATGCATAGTAGTGGGATTGCTGGATCGAATGGTAGTGCTATTTTTAGCTCTTTGAGATATCTCCAAATTACTTTCCACAGGGGTTGTACTAATTTGCAGTCCCACCAGCAGTGTAAGAGTGTTCCTATCTTCCACATCCACACCAGCATTTGTTGTTTTGGGACTTTTTGATAAAAGCCATTCTCACTGGAGTTAAGTGATATCTCATTGTGGTTTTGATTTGCATTTCCCTGATGATTAGAGATGTTGAGCACTTTTTTATATGTTTGTTGGCCATTAGTCTGTCTTCTTTTGAAAAGTTTCTCTTCATGTCCTTTGCCCACTTTTCAATGAGATTGTTTGATTTTTTCTTGTTGATTTTCCTAAGTTCTGTATAGATTCTTGTTATCAGCCCTTTATCAGATGTATAGCATGTGAATATTTTCTCCCATTCAGGTTGTCTATTTGTTCTAATGATAGTTTCCTTTCTTGTGCAAAAGCTTTTTAATTTGATCATGTCCCATTTATATATTTTTGTTGCTGCTGGGATTGCTTTGGTGGTCTTCTTCATAAATTCTTTGCCTAGGTGGATGTCTGTAAAAGTTTTCACAACATTTTCTTTTAGAATTCTAATGGTATTATTAGACATGAAAATCCTTAACAACTCACTAGCAAATGAAGCCCAATGATATGTAAAAAGATATGACTGTGATGGTTAATTTTATGTGTCAACTTGGCTAGGTAATTGTACACAGATATTTGGTCAAATATTATTGTCAATGTTGTTGTGAAGCTATTTTTTTTTTAGATGACATCAATATTTAAATCAATAGACTTTAAGCAGATTACCCTCCAGAATATGAGTAGGCCTCATTCAATCAGTTGAAAGCCTCAAGAGGAAACAAGCTAACTTCCTGGAGGAAGATATAATTCTGCCAGCAGACTACCTTTGAACTTGAATTACAGCATCAACTCTTCCCTGAATCTACAGCCTGCCAGCCTGCCTTGCAGATTTTGGACTTGCCAACCTCTCCACAATGGAGTCAGCTAATTCCTTAAAATAAATCT